AGCTTTTTAGTAGGGCCAGCTGGGACAGGACAAGGGGGGATGGCTTTAAACTGAAGCAGGGGAGGTTTAGACTGGATCTAAGGAAGAAATTCTTTCCAGTGAGGGTGGTGAAACCCTGGCAGGGGTTGCCCAGAGAGGGGGTGGAGGCCCCATCCCTGGGACCATTCCAGGCCAGGTTGGCCGGGGCTGTGAGCAACCTGATGTGGTTCAAGGTGTCCCTGCTCCTGCAGGGGAATTGGGCTGGGTGACCTCTGGGGGTCCCTTCCCACCCAAACCATTCTATGATTCTGTGAATTCCTGAATTGGTGTTGTCCAGAAGAACAACACAAGAATTTTGCCAGCAGTTGTCAGGCACATGACTTTTTTTTTTTTTTCTTATGGAAACTTTAATATCAGGTCTTCATTAGGAACTTAAAAATATTTCTGTCTCGGTATGAAGAAGGAGTTACAAAGAGATGAGAAATGCATATTCAATACAGACTATGAATAAGGTAATTGCTGCTAAGGGCATTGGAAATGTTGGGATACCAGCTGACTGCACGCCCCTTTGCAGTGCTGCTGAGCTCCTTTAGGCTTGTTTTCACCTATCACACTCCTACTTAAAGCCTCAGAAGCTGGAAACACAGTTCTGGATGAACTGATGGTACAAAACAGGGGGCTGTGCCTGCCTCCATGCACAGAAAACATTAGACAAAAGAAAATCTCTCTCCCATTCCTGCAATTACTTTGTTTTGCAAGGCTAAGAGGAAGAAAAGCTTGTGTAGTCAAACGCTAACATGCCTGATGCACAAGAGGAAATCATGATCAGTAAGACCCTTCTCTTTTTACTTGTTCAGTTTTCTGAGCAGAACAATGCTGGAAAGAACTTTCAGCGTTTGCTCGCAGTTGCTTTTAATAAATAGAAACTGCAGCTGAACAATTGTCAACGCTTTATTTTTAAACTTGACTGCTCTGTAGGTTGCATTTTCATGACAAATAACATGACATTTCGTTGTAGAGGATGCAACGTTGCTGACTTTTCTGTTTTTTCCCTCTCTAGTTAGAATGGAAGCAGTAGAAAAGAGAGTCCGTACATTTGTCCGAGTCAAGCCAACAGCTGATTTTGCTCAAGATATGATCAAGTTTGGGCCAGACAACAAGGTAGAGAAAAAGAGATTGCCAGCGTGAAAGGTTTGGAATTTGATTTCAGGTTTGCCCACAGAAATGCAGAATTCTTCTCTTCCTTAAGGCCACGCATGTGGTACATGTTGATTCATGTGTTCCTGTGTGCTGTTCTCTGCGCCGAGCGTGGCTCGTGGTTTTGTGTCAGCCGGCGTGACTATGGAAAGCATACGCCTTGTGATACGCTCACTAGAGAAAATCCTTTCGAGGGCTGGGACTCTGGCTGATCCTCAAGGAATTCCCAGTGGTAACCACAATTCCCACCTCAGAGGTCTCCCTGTGGTTCAGTCTTGTTTCTGTCCTCCCTTCTGTGAGTTCCTCCCTTTGCCTTCTCTTGCTGACTTAGTAATTTCCCTGGGACGCACAATCAGATGCATCACCAAAAGGTAAACAGATGAGCTTTGCCACATTTCTTTTTTTTTTTTTTTAGACTATCTATTACCAAAAAATACCATCGGGGTCAGTAAAACGACACCATTACTTGTGCTCCTTTTTCTGCTTACTTTCAGGTCTTCAGCGCATGAGGTTTTTTCAGACAAGAACTGCTGAAACTCTTTGTGGCTATTGAAGTTCTCTTATTCTCTTTTTTTGGGTTTCAGAGCATAGATATATACGTCAAAAAAGATGCCAAGAAAGGAGTTGTGAATAACAGGCAGACTGACTGGTCCTTTAGGCTGGATGGCGTCCTTCACAACACCTCCCAGGACCTGGCTTATGAGACAGTGGCTAAGAAATTGGTGTCCGAAGCTTTAATTGGCTATAATGGTAATGTATTGCTATTTTTATTATTTTGACAATAAGTGGAGATTTGATCTGAGGGCGAGATCCTTTTGATGTCCCGTTTGAGAAACGCAGAGGTGCCCTCCTGCATTGATTCTTCTGCTTTTGCATCTTTTCTAGGCACGATAATGTGCTATGGGCAAACAGGGGCTGGTAAAACCTACACAATGACGGGAGCAACTGCTGAGTACAAGCATCGAGGAATCATCCCCCGAGCTCTACAGCAGGTACTGGATCGGAACGGGAAAGAGGTTGGAAGAAATAACAAAGGTGTCTCTGGTATCAGCTATTGCTGATACTCGTGAAACTGTTTTAACGTGGTGAATATGTTTTATGGTTTTATCTCCACCAGTCCTTCCCCACACACACACTTCATCTAGATGATGATCATTAAACAAATAAAGGAGCCTGTAAAACATAGTACCTTTGTTTTACTACACCGTGACCTTGTGCACTGATAACAGTGAGGTTTCAGAGCATTGGGATGGTGTTGGCTGATTTGTTGGTCCCGTTGACACGGCCCTGTCCAGGAACGCTGCTCTGAGGGGGGAGGTCTGCTTATCTTTAGGCGGTGACACTGCAGAACGCTCTCCACTCCCACAAAGACAACTGACACGCAGGGTGTGGGGCTGACGTAATGCATACAACCTGAAACAAAGAGGGGAGGAATTCTGTGGTTACGCTTTGTTGTCATTTCTGGAGGTTGTTCCTGTTTAATTCTACCAGCTCACGTAAAGTACTCGCTACTTCCCAAATGTAAGCAGGCCCTCCAATGTGGTGGTGTCAAAACTATCGTTCTGAGAAATCGTGTTAAAACTGTTGACTTAGCCCTGTCAGCCCTCAGGCAACCACAGCGCGGAATTAACTACGCGCATGCAAACGCAGACGCACTTATAGCTGCTTGGAAAGTTATAAATAGCTTCTCTGGAAAACCATAAATAGCTAATTATCCTCTTCGTGACCTAGCACCACCACTGACCAACTCTTTGTCTTTGCATAGGTCTTCAAAGCAACTGCGCGCTCCGTTGATCCATGCATCACTGTCCGAATATCCTACCTGGAAATCTACAATGAGACCTTGTTTGACCTTCTGTCCACCACGACAAGCACTGGGACCGGCGACATGCAGATGGCTGTAGTGGATTGCCCACAGGGTGTTTATGTGAAGGGCTTATCTATACATTCAGTTACCCACGAGGAAGATGCTCTAAATCTCCTTTTTGAGGCAAGAAAAATCCACATACAGCCCCCCCCAAGCCCCCCAAATCTTCCAACTTGAGGTATTGTATGATTCGGTGCAACCCTGCACAGAAATCATTGCTTTTTCTCAGCGTACACGCGTAACACTGCAGTCATGTTCCAGTTCCCAGGCAGATTGCCAGACACTCCTGGATTTACTGATCATTGTGAGCAGCAGGAACAGGGGATGAGGAGGAAGGGAAGATGAATCCGTGAGCGATAGGAATGTAGGGCTGGTTTAGGAAGGTGGTGTAGACAGGAAAACCCCATTTTTCACATTTCAGTGTACTCTGGGTTAGTATTTATGTACTGGACTTACGCAAATGGGCTTTATGAAGGTCAGACCGATGCTGTGGTGAATTCAAGGAGCTGGAGTTTTGGACAAGAGAGTGTTTGTGCACTCCAGTTGCAGCGTTAACTAGGAGAGAATACCCATCCATCCATGTGAAAGCTGTCGGCTTTTAGGATCAAAAAGCTTAGGCCTGCAGAAATTTCTTTCCAAACTTTAAATAAAACCTGAAGGGAACCGGATGAGCTTGTTTCCTGAGGTGAAAAGTTCCGTGTTCAGTTTTCTAGATTTTTAATAGTGAAGATACATGAACTCCCTTCCATCCTGAAGAAAGATCATTAGCTAGGAAAACCTAATCTGGAATCTGCTATCTCCAGAATTTTTCCTTTAGTGTTTTGTGGGGTTTCAGGCTACAAATATAAGAATTGCATAATATATATATTTATTATATTCACATACATATAACTTATGAACTTAAAGTTCAAGGAGCATCTGGAGAACACTCTAGTCGTATGATTTAGTTTTAGGTAGCCCTGAGAGGAGCAGGGAGTTGGATTCGAAGATCCTTATGGGTCCCTTCCAACTTGAGATCTTGCACGATTGTGTTGTATGAAATATGACATTTCACCTGAACATTATATTTATTGGTTTAGCTGAGGGAAGAGGCAATAAAGCAGGAATTGGGTGGCCAGGACACCTGGAGGGAGGTTCAACCCTCTTTGTTTTCTTTAATGTGGGTAGAAGAATTGGTAGCTCCTTGTAGCTCACATTCTTGCAAGGAAAATGTCCCTGGCACAGAGATTCTGGAAGATCTCTGTGGAGAAACCCTGGTTTTAGTGTACACCAGAGCAAGTCAAGTGATGGAGGAAATATTTTGAGGTGAGATTGCAGAACGCAGTAGCTTTGGAGGTTCCAGGCAGCACCAAGACAGTGAAGGCAGCCACGGAATCTGCCTTCATTTCAAAAGTCTGATCTCACCAGCTCCTTCAGCAGACTGAGATCCCAGACAGCCAAAACCCCCTTCTTTTCATTGCCCTGGCTATCACATAAGGGTGTCAGTGAGTGACTTACTACAAAGCGTACGATATTTGGGATCCTTTATAGATCCACCAGCTGACCTACACAGCAATTTCTTCCTGAAAAACACACCTGCCTGTCAATGCTCCGAGAAAAGACTCTTACTAGTGCCATCTTTGGCAGCTAGTTTGGGATGGTCATGGCACAGGTACCCTTAGATTTTACTGCAGGGATGTTCACACAGTGGGTTAGCTTTGTGAAAGGAGTTTGCTTACTTATGTCTGCATGTTTCTTTTACTTGTGGAAAGTATCATGGAAATAGCATCATGGAAAAGATGAATAAATAATTGGATTTATACGCAGGAAGTGTATTCTTACCAGGAGCTGTCTGGTGTCCTGAAAATCTCTTGCTTGCCTTTTTAATAATGGGACTGTGGCATCCCACGCCAGCCCCTGTGATTCGTAGGAGCTCCCATTTTCTTTTTAAAGAGCAGAAGGATGATGAGAACACAGCTTAACTTGAGATCTGTGGACACAAGAAGCACAAGTGATGCCTGAGGAATCCACTCAGGTCCCTAGATGAGTTCTACCTGTGGTTCTAGATTCACAGCGAAAGCTCTGGGCTTTGAGGAGGCCGCCCACTATACTGCGACTCTTGTTTCTTCATCTCTGGAGTGAGGTTGATGATGGTCTTTACTTAGAGATCTTCACCTTCCTTCTTTGCTCTTGGATTTACACTCCCTACTGTGGGGCCAGTCACAGGTCGCTGTCCATGGAGACCCAGGCAGGCCCATCAGCGGTGAACCCCGTTGACAAGTGCATTTCTATGCCGTAGAGCCTTCTGTTTCCTTTTCTGCCTCACCAGTGCAGCTCTGTGATAGCCTGGCACTCCTAACAAGCAGTTGCAGCAGCATTTTCAATGTTGCTGTCTTTTCACAGAATCCCAGACTGGCCAGGGCTGGCAGGGCCCTCGGGAGCTCACCCAGTGCCACCCCCCTGCCCAAGCAGGCTCACCCAGAGCAGGGGGCACAGGACAGCGGCCAGGCGGGGGTTGAAGATCTCCAGAGAAGGAGACTCCACAGCCCCCCTGGGCAGCCTGGGCCAGGGCTCGGGCACCCTCACAGTCAACAAGTTCTTCCTCCCGTTCAACTGAAACCTCTTGTGCTTCAGTTTGTGTCCATGGCCCCTTGTCCTGGCACTGGGCACCACTGAGAAGAGTCTGGCTGCATCCTCGTGACCCCCACCCTTGAGATATTTGTAGGTGTTGATGAGATCCCCTCTCGGCCTTCTCTTCTCCAGGCTGAACAAGCCCAGCTCCCTCAGCGGCCACGCTCCTCTTGATGCACCCCAGGGGGCCATTGGCCTTCTTGGCACCAAGGGCACCCTGCTGGCTCATGGTCAGCTTGGTCAGCTTTTTCTTTAAGTAGGCATTACAAATTCGTGGCTGTCACCTGTGTGTGAGTTTTCTATGACATTTAAAGCCTGGAGTGGGGCAGCTTTTTGGCTTTTCTAGTCATCAAGAAACTGAAACAGCCAGGGAGGTATTGCCTCGGAACAAGGCTTGCCTGACTGGTCCTCAAAAAGCCACAGATCTGTGAGCTGAGCCTCGAAAGTGGAAATGCAGATATTGTGGTCTCCAGTAAAAGGCATTATTACAGTAAACAGCAACCTTTACCAACCGCGCCGTGAAAAGCTTTGAGAAGCCTTTGAGTAAGAAAACGAGGCAAATTACGGTGAGCTCCTGCCCTGACTGCTCTATCCAACTGATCAGTGTGACAAGCTCTGCAGAGCAAGGATTGAACCACTGTTTATTTAGCTGTGCATATTTCTCATTTTCCTTTATTCTACCCCTGCAGAAGCTTAAAAACTTCATTTTTTTGACTTTGTTCGCAGGGTGAGACCAACAGAGTGATAGCAGAGCACACACTGAATAAAAATTCATCCAGATCCCATTGCATCTTTACTATTTATATTGAGGTAAGAGCTCCAGCAGTTTTTCTAGGGTCTCACATGGCTGAGGATCTTTACACATCTGGGTTTTGTTCTGTATTTCAATTTTGTCTACTGTACAGCTTATATTCTTTTCCCACTCAGTCTCGTTTCAGAGCTTTCTCAGATGTCAAATGCGTTAACTCTAAAATCAACTTAATAGATCTGGCAGGCTCAGAGAGACTGAGCAAGACTGGAGTAAGTAGTGGAGGAAATATTTCAGTCCGTGGTGAAGAGTCCAGTAATCAACAGGGTAGAGGTGAAATTCTGGGGTTTTCCCCCAACAGACTTCAGCCTGTGATAAATAGGAGAGACTGTGACAAACTGAAAGTCACATTAGCACATCAGAGGGGGCAGTTTGCAGCTGCTGCCTATCATTTCGAAGTCCACGTATATGTGACTCCCATCCTGCGGGTGCCTTCCAGCCTGACCCAAATTCAGTTTATCCAATTCCATCATTTCTCCCCAAAACAAAGGGCCAGAGCCATCAGCTGTTAAGACAAAACCCCCCTGATTTTCCTCTTCATGCATGAGTGGCAGTGCAAATCCCCCACTTCTGGGCACAGCAGGCAAACTGATGAAACTTCCTTAGAGCGTTGGGGCTCAACGACTGAAAGCTCCCTAGGTCTCATGTGACATTCTGTATTGATCAGAACAGAAATCCCATCAGCCTGGTGACAAATACCCAGTTTATCCTTTGGGAAGGAAAGGCAGCGGTCCTGATCGTGAAATGTCACGTAAATGTGCCTGTAGTGAAAACTTGTAATGAAAATTTGTAATGAAACCTTATAATGAAGCCTTGTAAGGAAAAACTGAGGTCTCTGAAAACTTGTTTTCAAACTGAAGAAAGCTCTAGATCATGAATTTCATAGAATCAGAGAATCACAGAATCCCAGGTTGGAAGGGACCTCCAGGATCATCTGGCCCAACCTTGCTAGGCAAGAGCCCAGTCCAGACAAGATGGCCCAGCACCCTGTCCAGCTGAGGCTTGAAAGTGTCCAATGTGGCAGAGTCAACCCCTCCCCTGGGGAGATTATCCCAATGGGTGACTGTTCTCATGGGGAAAAATTTCCCTCTCGTGTCCAATTGGAATCTCCCCAAGAGCAACTTGTGCCCGTTCCCCCTTGTCCTCTCCATGGGACTCCTTGTGAAAAGGAAGTCTCCATCCTCTTTGTAGCCACCCTTTAAATACTGGTGGATGGTGATGAGATCCCCTCGGAGCCTCCTTTTCTCAGCCTGTCCTCCTAGGGCTGAGAGAGGCTTTCCAGCCCTTGGATCACCTTGGTGGCCCTAAATTATTGGAATTTATTGGGTCTGAATTAGATCCTTACCCTTGTGGTCAAGCAGAGTTGTACCCTCAGGAAGGAATATTCTCTTTTCTGCGGTTTGGCCAGGAACACGTGTTGTGGAAGCTTGGCCTTTTGATCTTTTTGAGAAAACAGCCTCAAGGTGTGCCGGGGAGGTTTAGGTTGGACATCAGGAAGAATTTTTTTACCAAAAAGGTGGTCAAGCACTGGAAGGGGCTGCCCAGGGAAGCGCTCGAGTCATGATCTTTGTTACAGTCTGAAGGACAGGTGCTGAAAGAAGCCACCTACATCAACAAGTCTCTGTCGTTCCTTGAGCAAATCGTCATTGCCCTGGCTGATCCTAAGAGGGACCACATCCCCTTCCGGCAGAGCAAGCTCACTCACGTTCTCAAGGACTCTCTAGGTAAGAGCTGTGGATTACAACAGCCCCAAACAGTTCTTAGAAAACTGGGGGTTCAACGAGCATGCCGAGTCCTAAGGCCGTCACGTATAAACACATGGAAGGAATTTGTTATTCAAAGGATATCTGGTTTTCCTCATCAAATAAAACAGCAGGCGCAGGAGACAGTGCAAAGCCCACACTGATCAAGCCCGTAGAAACTCACTAAACCTTAGAATACTTTAGAAACCTCCCACCAGACAGCCCCCCTCAGCATGATACAAGCCTTGTCGGATGCTCCTGCTTTAGCATCAGGCTGCAGATGATAAAACCCAAAGCTGTGGTGCATCGCGAACCCACAGGAAATATTTATGCTCTTGGAATGCAGGCGGGAGATGTGGGAGGAGAAAGCAGCTGAAACCGGGATGTGGGCATTTGTGTGGAGTAACCGAAGTCGTCAGAAATGAGAGTGACGTTGGAGGCGTTCCCAGCACAAGGCTTGCGTTGCTTTTAGGAAAGGCAGTGACTGCGTCCTGCCAGGTTCCCCGCTATAGGATGTAGGCCAAGGGCTTTTAAATTCCTCTGCTCTGGTTTTCCCTGATTTCAGGCTTTCTCAGTTTGTATTCCCACCTTCTTACTGCATCATCACCACATGAGAAACACATTTCACCTTTATTCTTAAGTCATTCTGTGCCACCATGTTTCTGTACCCATGGGAACTTTAGAGGGACGGTTAAAAACTGGCTGTGCTCTTTGTTGCTTCTTTTTCTCTGTTTTAGTCAGGACATAGTGCAATACCCACCCAAATTATATTACTTGGTTTTGTTTTGGTTTTTTCTAATTTTTTTTTCCCCAGGGGGAAACTGCAATACTGTCCTAGTGGCAAATATCTGTGGGGAAGCGGTGCATGTGGAAGAGACTGTAAGTTGAACTGATTTCTGCAAGAATTAAAAAGTCTTGGTCCCATTACTGTTGCAACTGGCCATAGCTTGGTTTAAAGAATAATCCCTGGAGGGCTATGGCAGGAGTCCCAGAGAAACATCCTGCCTAATTCATCACAAACATGGGATAGCTCATCTTATCTCAAAGGCTCTGAAAACAGATTGCTTTCACCAATCTGCTTGGTGATGCAAACAGGCAAGTGGTAACTGGCCCTGGGGTGGGGGGGAAGGAGAGCTTGAAACAGAGCAGGCACAAGTGGCTAAAATGTAAGCACACTGGATTGTGTTAATTATTCTTGTTGGTTTGACTCTATGGCTGTGTTTGAGTGGTACATCATAGAAGCATAGAATCACAGAATTGTTTAGGTTGGCAAAGCCCTTTAAGCTCCCCCAGCCCAACCATTCCCCTACCCCTGCCATCCCACCCCCAAACCCTGGCCCTCAGCACCTCGTCTGCCTGGCTGTTAAATTACATCCCGTAATGAGGTCAATGGAATTGCACCAGTTCACATCAGGGCTGAGCTGGCTTTCTGCTGGCTAAGGAATCAGGAGTAACCTCCTAACCGTAAGGTTTTTTAACCCATGAAGTAATGAAATGGGTGACAGTCTCATGGTCCGAACTGGATCGGGTTAACCACGTCTGTAACACAGAGAAGGGAGTCACCTTGCTCTTTGCCAAGAGACGTTTACATAGCAAAAAAAATTGTAAATGCAGATGCCTGTCATGCAGTTGTCTTCAAGGCAGAGTGTGGTTTTTATCATCTTCTCCTTGTGTTCCGATAGCATCTAGAAACACGTAATATTACTGGGGGAATAGCTGCCGTACCTGGCATCAAGAGGAGGATTTGCAGGCTGCAGGGGCTTACTCTCGAGATACCACGATTGTGGGAATTAAGCTTGAAGGCCATTGGTGTGCTATTTGGAGTTTTTAGGGTGTTAAGTGTTCCTTTGATCAGAAATGGGAGTGAGTATTTTTGTGATCACAGCTCTGGTACCACTCTGTCCACGTGCAGAACAGAAAAGCCAAAGGCATCATCTGAAGCCGGCTAATCCCACAGAAGCCAAGTGAGCACTAGAAGATACGCTCCTGGAATGAGAAATCCTATACTGCTCCCTGCAGTTCAATAGCTTTTGTATTTCTGCGGTCTGGGATCTGATATGATTAAGTAGTAGCAGATTATGAAAATTATATCCTTGCCAATATCTCTTGCAGTCACTTCAACCCCATGTTTTTCAGTTGTCTTCTCTTCGTTTTGCTACCAGAATGAAATGGATCACAACAGAGCCAGTCGTCAATGAGACATATGACCGAGAGGTATGGAGAGAAGGGGATGGGGAGAAGGCATATTTCCTCAGGTTCATTAATATTTAGGATAATGACCTTAAAAACTAGAGGGAAATCCATCAGTTTAATGAGTTACCACTCCTCAGCCAAGCTGACACATGCTGAATTTTAGGTACATGATAAAACGTATCAGTATTAAACTTTTTTTTGTTGGTATTTACAGTTACCTTGAATATGCCACAGGGTACAGTCATGCAAGTGGTCACATCTTCCCTCACCCATGGTAATTCTTTCATCCTTAATTTTTCTGATAAGATTCACCTCTTAACAGAGAGATTATGTTGTGGGCTACTCCCCTGGTATGTGGGGAAATCAGTCCTACCTGCAGCTTTACACAGCATTATCCCCGTTGCTGCTGGTAACGTAACAGTTTTTCTACAATTACAAGATTTGTTTAAACAAGGAAATAATTGAATACAAATGACCAGAGTATTTCAGTGTCCTGAGCACACTTTCACAGCTGAAACAGAGCTGGCGGCAGTAAATGCTCTATGAATTACTGATGGCCCAAAGAACGAGTTTTGAATTAGCTGATCTGCAGCATGTGTAGTGTGTGAGAACCCTCCTGTATTTCGTGGTCTGAGCTCACTGACAAGCAGAGAAACAGCTCGGGAGTTTCCTCCAACGGCTTCCAGAAGAAGTTGTGCAACAAACCAGCTTTTCCTCTTCAGGTCCTTTCATTTTTGTTGAGATGTGTGGAGTGGAAAAGAGGAGCAAAACCAGTGTTTAAGGCAGGTGGAGTGCTTTGATGCTCAACAGGTCACTTAAAAAGCAGCTCGCTGTCCAATTCTTACTGAATCCCGAGGAGATTGGTGCACCCACACTTTTCTGGAAACACATTCTCAATAGTGAATGCTTGAAGATCATAGAATAGAATCATAGAAACATTTGGTTGGGAAAGCCCTTTAAGCTCCCCCAGCCCAACCGCTCCCCTACCCCTGCCATCCCACCCCCAAACCCTGGCCCTCAGCACCTCGGCTGCCCCGCTGTTAAATC